ATTCTGGTCTTTCCCCCTCTCTCTCTGTCTATGTCTTTCCTCGTTCTCATTCTCCCCATCCTCCCCACCTGCCTCCTCCCACTTCTCCTCTCCCCCTCTCTCCTTCGCTCTCTCTCCCTCTCTCCCTCTTTCACTCACAATATGGATTTTGTCGGGCTCCATCGCGTGCCATTGCCACGCTCATAACATCTGCCAGTTACTAGTACTCCGTTATAAGCTGGATGCATGAGACGAGTGCACGGCCGAGCGGGAGCGACCGATGGCGGGTTTTGTAGTTTACTAGTAGATTCCGTTTAACTGATGGCAAGTACACGGCGCCGACCAAGGCGACGATGGCTGGGTTTCCTGCGACGAAAAGCTTTCACGATCGTTTAATTGTTAATGCCGACCGTTGCTACGAAAGAGAGCGGGGAGTGTGCGCACAGAAATGTCACAGCAAAGAGAGATAGAGAGAGAGTGAGAGAGAGGAAGAGAGGGGGAGAGAACAGAGAAGAGAGAGAGAGAGAGAGAGCGAGAGGAAGAGAGAGAGAGAGAGAGAGAAGGCCGAGAGAGAGAGAGAGAGAGAATGAGGAGAGGGAGGGTAGGCACAGATAAGGGAACGGGTAGGAAAGAGGGCTGAGGGGGAGATTCGGGATGGAATTTTGTAGGAACAGGCGAGCGAGATGAAAGGTAGGAATCACAAGGGAAAGTTGGCGAGACAGAGGAGGATGGTGGTAGCACAGAGGAGGGTAAAGCAAGAGGAGTGAGGAGGCGAAGGAATAAACGTATGCATAAATGTCCTACACCCCCTCCCCGCACATCATGTCACCCCCTCACCGACCATCATGTCCCCCTGCTCATGGCGGTTGCTCGTGCACGCTCCTATCTTACCGTGCCCCCAACGTTCTCGGTTGTTTCAGGGGAGGCCGCGCAAAAAAAAAAGAAAAAAAGGAAAGAAAAAGCAGTCGAGCGCGACCCGGCGGACCGGGAGCGAGCCGAGCCGAGAAGCGCGCTCGACCGAGAGCGGGCCACGGACAGGAGCGCGCGGGAGAGGACCCGCCGAGAGGGAGCGGCTAGAGAAGGAAGAAGGTGGAGTGGGCAGGAGAGGGTTGGAGGCGGGAGAGGGAGAGCAAGCGCGAGCAAGAGGGAGAGACAGAAGGGGCTGCGGGGCAAGAAGGGGAGGCGAGGGGCGGCGGTGCAGCGCACTTCCAGGAGTCTCTGGGCGGCTGGGCCATCAAAGGGTGAGGCATGGGCGAGAAGCTGAAGGCGAGATCCAAAGAATAAAATAAATCAACAACAGCTGGCAGCCACTAGCAACAACAACAACAAGCAACAACAAACAAGATACAGCAGTAGAAGCAGTCGCAACCAACAACAAACAGCCAGCAGCAACAGCAACAGCAAGGCAGCAAACAGCCACAACAACAACAAGATACAGGCAGTAGAAGGGAGTAGCAACAACAACAACAACACAGGCAACGCAACAACAACAGCAGCAACAGCACGCAAGCAACAACAACAAGCAACATGCATACGAAGCAGGCATCTATGGTGTCAGCGTGCAAACAAATGTTAGGGTTGCAGAGTGAATGCTATTGCTATTCTCCTGTCTTCAGACATGGTCACCCACGGCACAGCACGCACGGCACGCACCGCCTTGCACAGCCGACGCACGCACGCCACGCACGTAAACGCGAATTCAGGCGGCACACACAACTACATGCTCTCCCTCGGGGCTGCTGTCTTATAATTGACTCTGCTAAGCAGTGGTGCGCACAAAGCGGCAGGCAGCAAAAAACATCCTCCTGAACACCATAAACTGCCACATCACGGGCTGTGTTCCACCGACGTGGTGACCTCCCTGACCCGAACCACCTCTATCCGCCACCCAGCGCCCCCCGCCAAACCTTAGCGCTCCCGGTCCCACGTCCCCACCTTCCTACCTACCATACTCGCGCACCTACGCTACTCGCGCTACCTGCCCGCACTCCGCACTTCCTACCTACCTACCGTCCCCTACCTCCCCGCTTCCTACCTACCGTACGCTCCCGCACCTACCTACACTGCCCCATACCTCCGCCACCTGCCGCGCCACCTTCTACTACGCTACCTGCGCCCACCTCCCGCGCACTTCCTACCTACTACCGTCCGCACGCTCCAGACACACGCTTCCTAATACCTACCTCCCGCGCACCTACCTACCTGCGCCTACCCTCCCACGGTCCCCACCTACCTACTTGCGCGCCACCACCGGGAGGCCATCCACAGGCCTCCCTACTTTCCCACAATCCCCACCTCCCTATCACCCAGCCTCCCTACCAACTCCACTCCCTATCACCCACCGTCCCTACCTCGTTTGCTCTGCTCTGGGGGGCTCGTGTCTGCTTGCTCGGCTGTGACACTGGACATTACGACGTGTGTACATTAGCCTCCTATAATTGGCTCAGGCAACGACCGACGTGGTGACTTACGATAAGGCCATTACTCTTCTTCTCTAAGTTGTCCTTCAAGGATTTTGTGGGGCGTGACCGGCGCCGGCATTTACGCACGCACGCGAACAGCACGCAGCCGGCACGCACAGCACGGTGGGGAAAATGTTGAACTACGGGTCCGTCGTCACAATCGCAGCTCGTTGTTTTCGTTGATTTGTGCTGCTGCCTCTTTTCATGCTGCTCTCTCTCTCTCGAAGCCTTCTCTCTCTCGTCTCATCTCTCTCTCTTTCTCGTTCTCTCTTCTCTCTCGTTCTCTCGTTTGCTCGTCTCGTCTCATCCTCTCTCTCGTCCCTCTCTCCTCCTCTCCTCCTCTCCCTCGCTCGCCCCTTCCACTCTCTCGTCTTTCTCTCTGCTCTCCTCTCTCTTTCTCTCTCTCACCTCTCTCTCTGCCTCATTCCTCATCGTTTCCTCCTCTCTCTCTCTTCTCTCTCTCTCTCGAGGTGAATAGAGATGCATCTCTCTCTCTCCTGCTCTCTTTGCTCGTTGCTCACTTCTCTCCCTAATCTGCTGCTCTTCTCTCCCCCCCTCTCTGCTCTGTCCCCTCTCGCCTCCCCTCGCTCTTGTTTCTCTGCTAGTCTCTCTCCTCGCTCCTCCAACTTTCTCACACTACCTCTCTCCACATGCATGTGGCATGCAATCATTAAATAATTAAACACAGACCGCTCAAGTGTTTTTGCGAGCGAAGAACCCAAGCTGACATGGCTGAACTGAAGAACTCGCGCAAAAAATAATCACTCAATCATAACGCGATCCCAATCGATGCAATCGGACCATCGTCTCGAACATCGTCAGCCCCCGTGCTCCTGAGGGTCGCTGACGACTGTTAGACTGCCGCCGCGACTGGTCGCGCGTGGCTTAGCTAGCTCGTCATGTCGTTGCAGATGATGAGCCACTCTCAAGGGCGGCGCACGCGGCAGTCGCCGTGGGGTCACCTCGCGCTGGCATGCCCGCGGTCAAGCTCGGCCACATCCCCGGGCAAGCCGCCCGCACGTTGTCAAGAGAGCTGAAGGTGAGTCCCCCCTCGTGGCGGCGGCGGCGCGCGGCGGGCGCGAGCGCAGGGAGGCGGGCAAGGTAACTGCAGTTACCTCAGGTGAGTAGAGTGGTGGCCAGTGTGGGTAGGAGAGTGAATGTTAAAAAGGGAAAGGGTGAGCACAAAACGGTAAATTTGGCCTGTATTTTACCTATCTATTAGTTACGCTGTATCTTAGCCTGTCCCACTTATGCTACCTGTATCTACCTGTCATTAGCTAGCCTTGTATCTACCTGTCGCATTTGCTACCTGTATCTACCTGTGCATTAGTTTAGCCTGATCTACTGTCGCATTAGCTCTCTGTATCTCCGCTGTCCATTAGCTACCTGTATCTACCTGTCAATTAGATACGGCTGTATCTACCTGTCCCATATGACATAGCCTGTATCTAACGGCTGTCCATTAGCTACTGTATCCTACCTGTCCATTAGCTACGCTGTTATCTAGCCTGTGCCATTAGCTTATCTGTATCTACTAGATCTATTAGGCTTATCTGTATGCTACCTGTCCCAGTTAGCTCCTGTATCTACCTGTCCATTAGCTACCTGTATCTACGCTGTCCATTATCTAGCCTGATATCTACCCTGTTCCATGTAACTATCGTATCTACCTGTCCATTAACTACCTGTCATGCTACTGTCCATTAACTAAAGCCTGTATGCTACTGTCGCATTAGCTAAGCCTTGTAATCTACCTGTCCATTAACTACCTGTATCTACCTGTCCATTAACTACCTGTATCTACCTGTCCTTAACTATCTGTATGCGTACTCTCGTCATTAAACTACCTGTATCTACCTGTCCATTAGCTACCTGTATGCGTTCCTGTCCATATGGCACCTGTATGCTACCTGTCCATTAACTAACCTGTATCTACCTGTCCCATTAGGCTATCTGTATCTACCTGTCCATTAGGCCTACGCTGTATCTACGCTGTCGCATTAACTACCTGTATCTACCTGTCGCATTAACTACTGTATGCTACCTGTGTGTGGTGCGTCTGCACAATGGCGTGCTTTCGACTGCATTTGAGATTTGCGCGCGCACGGGGCAGCAGACGAGGCAGGAAATTTGCGCAACTCAGAATGCGTCGTGATTGGCGCGGCGCGGGCGAGGGAGGCGGCCGCACGCGACGCACGCACGCAGACGCGACGGCACGCGACTGCGACGCGGGCATTAGCGGGCGGCTGGCAAATGGTCGGTTATCGAGGGGGCGGGGTGCGCGGACAGCCGGCGGACCTGGGGCGTGGAGCGTCGCGGGGGGGGACGGCTGGCCGTTAGCACAGCGCGTGACAGGTGAGGGCTGGGAAGGTAGGAGTGTGTATATGTGTGTATAAGCATTGACAGAGAAGATTCCCTAGGTGTGGAGAGGAGTAAGAGATGAGAGAAGAGAGAGAGAGAGAGAGAGAGAGAGGAGTGTGTATGGTGGAAGAGCGATAAGATGGGTCGTGGGTGGTAGGTGTGAGGTTAGCGGTGGGTGAGGGAGGTGGTGGGTGGGTGTGTGCTAGTGTGGATGAGGATACAGTGTGTGACGATTATGCTGTCACATGGCTGCGCTGACGTGGTCGGGGCATGCGGGACAATAATCCCGGATTTAGAAAGCCGAGAGGATGGTTTTGCTGGCTGCAGTTGTTTAGCAGTAAGCAAGTGGATGGGCAATGTATATATGTGTGTGTGTGGGGGGGAGTATGATGAAGTGTTGGGAGTGGTTAATGTAGGGAGGCTTGGCGAGATATGAGGCGGTGTCTGATGGGGGGGGGGGGTCTAAACGTGTATGAGGCACGTTTGCGGGAGGTGTGAAAGAATATGTGTGGTGTATGTATGCGGGGGAAAATCTGACATGCTATGAGGAATGTGTAAGTAAGTGTGAGGCGGTAGGTATAGTTGGAAGGTGACGTGAAACCCGGGGTGTAAAGTCCACGTGCTCATGTGGTTGTTCTTTTTTCGTGCAGTGTTGGGGAGGTGTGTGTGCGTGGTGCGTGCGTGCGGCGTGCGTGCTTGGCGGTACGTGCGTGTGTGTTGCGTGCGTGTGTGTGCGCGTAGCGTGGGCGTGTGTGTGGCGCGTGTGCGGCGTGCGTCGTGCCCTAACGTGGTGTGCGTGTGTGCGTGTGTGTGTGTGCGCGTAGCGTGTCGTGTGTTGGTGGGTGAATCTAACGATGTATGTGCCATCGTCGTCATCATCGTGATTTGTTGTGTCTCTTCTCTTCGTGGCGTTTGCGTGCGTGGGCGTGTGTGCGTGCGTGCGTGCGGTGTGTGCGGTGCGGCGTGTGGGTAAGGGGCGTCTCTAACGATGTATGTGCATCATCGTCATGACATCATCGTGTTGTTGTTCTCTCTCTTCGTGCGTGCGTACGTGCGTGTAGGAGCGAGTGATGAGCAGCTATGACCAGCAGCGGATAGCCGAGTACCACAGACACCACCTCGCCTACATGGAGCAGATGAACATGAGGCGATACGAGGAGCTCATCAAGCAACAGGTACGTTACAATGATCTCAGGTGCGCCGCGTCTAATTACAGGTGTGTTTACCTGCACGGCCGACGGCGGGTAAGGCGAATGGCGGGTAAGCGGCTTGCATCATCGCACCTGGATGTGAAATGCGACGCAGCGGAGCTGAGAAAGAACGTTCGACGCTAACGAGATCGCGCTTGATTACGATACTTTATAATTAATGCGTGATTTTCGTAATCCGCGCGACGACGCGGCGTCGCGTTGATGATCGTTTGAAATTGTTAGCGCCTCGTTAGGCGTCCGTCTTGATTAACACATCTTCTCAATCTTCTTTTCTTTTGATTCACTTCACGTTCTCAACGATTTTGCGCAATTCACTCACCGCAATTTATTCTGATTTTGCAGCAGCAGCAGCAGCAGCAGCAACAACAACAGCAACATCAACAGCAGCAGCAGCAGCAGAAACAGCCTCCTCCGGCGACGAAGGAGGAGAAGAAGCCCTCGGAGGCAGCCGTCGCCATGCAGCATCCCACGTCGGCGTCGGCGGCGGCATCGCTCCGACCGCCCTCCTCCTCGTCGTCCTCCTCCTCCACCTCCTCGGCGGCAGGGGGGGAGGTGAAGCCGGAGTACATGCAGGGTCACCCGGCGTACCGCATGTCCTACCCGCTCACCGACATGGCCGCGCACCAGATCAAGCAGGAGGCGAACTTCAGCCTGTACGGCTACCGGCCCTTCCAGCATTCCTACATCTCCCAGGACAAGCTGAGCCAGCTGCAGCAGCCGCTGCCCCTGTCCACGCAGCAGCAGCAGCAGCAGCAGCAGCATCGCGGCCGGGAGCAGGAGCGGCAGGGCACGCTGCAGCACGACCGCCGCGGCATGGAGCAGCACGAGCGTCGGAGCATGGAGCACGACCGCGGCTCCATGGAACAGCACGAGCGACGGAGCATGGAACACGAGCGGAGGAGCATGGAACTGGAGCGGCGGAGCGTCGAGAGCAATCACAAGCGACACGGCATGGAGCACGATGTGCATGTCATGGAACAGGGCCGGCACGGCATGGAACATGTTCGTCACAGCATGGAACCCAGCCGACACGGCATGGAACAGACCCGACATGGCATGGAACAAAGCCGGCACGCTATGGAACACGAGCGACACAGCATGGAACACGCCCGACAAGGCATGGAACAGAGCCGGCACTTAACGGAACACGAGCGCCGCAGCATGGAACACGAGCGGCGCATCCTGGAACATGTGCATCATGGCATGGAACACGACTCACCGCGCGGCGCGGAGCACGAGGCGTGGCGCAGGATGGAACAGGAGCGGCAACTCCACGATCACGAGCGGAGAATTCCGGAACCGGACGACCGCCGGATTCCGGAACCGGACCGGAGGATCCCGGAGCATGACCGCTGCATGTCGGAACATGACCGGAGAATTCTGGAACCGGAGAGGAGGATTCTGGAGCACGAGCGGCGGGTTCCGGAACCGGAACGGAGGATCCCGGAGCACGACCGCCGGATTCCGGAACCGGACCGGAGGATCCCCGAGCACGACCGGCGGATTCCGGAACCGGACCGGAGGCTTGCGGAGCAGGAGAGGCGGAGCGGAGTGTCGCCGGGGGCGACGGCAGCGGCGGCGTCTGCCGCGCACAACCCCAAGAAGCGTTTCCTCTCGCATCCGCCACCGCTCGTCCGCCACGAGGAGGGCCTCGGCAACCGGCTCGCGATCGCCGCGGCAACCGAGCACGCAGCAGCCGCGTCGCCGCCGGAGACGCACGGCAAGGAGGCCGGCGCCGCCGCTGCCGTCGCCCCCGGCGACACTCCGCTCCGCCTCTCCTGCTCCGCAAGCCTCCGGTCCGGTTCCGGAACCCGGCGGTCGTCCGGTTCCGGAATTCTCCGCTCGTGATCGTGGAGCCGCCGCTCCTATTCCATCCTGCGCCACGCCTCGTGCTCCGCGCCGCGCGGCGAGTCGTGTTCCATGCCGTGATGCACATGTTCCATGATGCGCCGCTCGTGTTCCATGCTGCGGCGCTCGTGTTCCGTTAAGTGCCGGCTCTGTTCCATGCCTTGCCGGGCGTGTTCCATGCTGTGTCGCTCGTGTTCCATG